GGGGGGGGGGGGGGGGGGAAGAAACAGGCAGTGAAGGGGGGTTGAAAACCAGCAGCGAATTGAAGACCCACCCACGAATGCAAGCTCGACCACAGATGATTAAGACACAGAGAGAGGGGGGAAAAGAGAGACTCCGAAAATAGTGACGATTTGCTCGAAATACAGGAATTTTTGTTTTCCACCCCAGTTTCATGTTGGTGTATTGAAAATCCGAAACATTTCGACACGATATTTCGATCCTTGTCATTCATACAAAAACTCTAATTTCAATCATGATCATTAAGCTTTAATTTTCTAACCACCACTACCACGATCACAGGCACCATTACCTCCACTATCACCATCTTAGTAAAAACCACGGCCACCAACTCCAGTTCATGGAGTGAAAATTGTGCAATCACAAGTTCTCCTAAATCCTCAAATGAATCAAAAGTATCTCTGGCAATATCCCCCATCTTAGTTTCTACTTGCATATAGTGCATGGTTTTTCTTGAATCTTGATAGAAGACGAAGATTACTATGAATGAAAAACAAGTGTTCAGCACTTTTTGGTATCATCTTATTTCCTCTCACGGAGTGCACAAAAGAACAAGTATTCCAATTTCTCTCACNTGGTTTTTCTTGAATCTTGATAGAAGACGAAGATTACTATGAATGAAAAACAAGTGTTCAGCACTTTTTGGTGTCATCTTATTTCCTCTCACGGAGTGCACAAAAGAACAAGTATTCCAATTTCTCTCACAACATGATGAAAAAGGTTCCAAAAGTAGCTTCAAAGCTAGACTTTGAAGCAAAGGTGCACTAGCCCCAGGGGCGACCCACCAATTTTTAGGATTCATTCTATAACAATCATGAATTGAGTCAATATCCTCAAACTCACCCGACTTCATTGAGAAATTGACATATTCCTCATGTACCTTTGCACTTTCCTCCAGAGTAGAAAAATATTGTTTATGCATTTTACTCTTTCTAGAGAAACCTCCAAATCTTTGTGCGGGGAAACTCGAGGAAGGTCCTCATGAAGCCACTGATAGCTATAGTACCTTAAATAAAAGAAGTAAGATGCAAGTAGTAGTTTATGATTAAGAGGGGAAATAAGTCTACAAATTAGAGATCACCTTGGATTCAATGAATGGGTTGGGCAATGAAGGGGAGGGTTGTTTTTGTTCCAACGATCAACAAGGATTTTATGCACCACGTCATAAAATGTGGATGACTCCTCAACTCGTTTTCCTTCATGTCTATATATTGCAATTCTTACTTTTTCTAACATGGTATCTCACATGGCATATACAAAGAGAAGACAAGGCTTGTCCATATTACAAGTCCTGAGCATATCATACATAGGAGCTGTAAATGCAAGTATGTAATCAATGGAGTCCCACCAAATGTCACCTAACACCTTCTCTTTCACAAACTTAGTTTTTCCCACATCATCTTCTCGATAGTCACTTCGCCTCTCACTAATAACCATGGCTTGAAGACTACCTTTTTATGAGCATTACAAGTACCGAAGCAAAACATGTACTTTCAATGGAAATCAATTTTAAAGTGACAAAAGCATTGAACATTGCCAATATCATGGAGTGATTCATGATGAAAGTCTCAATAAATACAATATCATCCGCAATATCTATAATCCAAGAACAATCATCAAAAGTTACTTGATTATTTTCAACATTATTTGCCACTCAAATATTTTGCAAAGCAGGGTAAAGTGTGTGAACCACATAAGGTGTCCAAAAAATATTAGGATATAATCCTTAAATAAGATAGCCCGTCCCCAAACACTTAGCATTATCGGCGATCACTTGAAGCGCATTATCAGGACCAACCTCGTCAATCACTTCTTTCATCAAATTGAAAATAAAGAACTTATCTTTAGTTCACTCGAACTATCCACATATTTAAGGAACATAGGCCCACCTTCCGTCACAGACAAAAAATTGATCAAGCGCCTCCTTTGTGAGTCACTTCATCCATCACTCACAATACTCACACCTTTTTCTTTCCATGTGCTTTTAATGGGTTGTAATAATCTCTCAACATTAGCCTTTTCTTGTTGGAGTATAGTAGTTTTCAAAGAATTATACCCTGGTGGTAATAAACCGGAAAAGGATTAGATGCGGCAAATGAAAAGGCACCAACAAAATATGGGTTCCTTGCATGGTTAAATGGTAAGCCTCCGGAGCAGTACATTCTAGCAATAAGCGTATTTAAATGATCACAAGTCTTCAAGTTAAATGCCTTTTCAATAGTTGAAGTATTTCCACTTCCACTTCTAGTCGCTTTTCTTTCTTTTGACTTATATCTCCCTTGATCAAAGCTATCCAAATAATCACCAAATGACACACTAGGAAGCAATGGTACCTTTTTTGGCGCATTTTTCCTCAATCTTTCTTTGGCTTCCTCCTCTAATTTTGCATGTCTACAATATCTTGGCTTGTAACTTCATGAAATGCTTCAATCCCACAACCACTCAATTTCAATAAATGAGTTTGTACCCTCGTGTATGAGCTTTTCTTAGTTTGGTTGCAAAAATTACATTGCCAAGACTTATTTCCCCCACCATCACTCAACTTCTCAAATCTTGTAACATACTCCCAAAGAGGTTTCCTAATATCTTCTTCAATAGATGGCGCTCTGCTAGCACCCACAAAACTCATTTCCCTCATTTCTACAAATTGATAGATAACACAACTAACAAATAATAACCAGTAATTCTTTGACCAATGCCTGAAAAACATAAGGAAAAACATAAAATACAACCATACTTGCTGCTCATGCAATGGTCAAAAATAAGAACAGACAGACAAAAAAAAATGAACAGCAAGCAGTAATAGTTGCAAGCAAAAAGAAATTGCAAAGTTCAATAGTTAAGGGGGAAAAAAGTTGAGCAGTAGGAACAAAGCCAACAACATTTCGTGACAAGGCCAGAATAAAGGCCAAAAAAATTCTTTGATTGAAAAAGGCAAGTTAAATAGAAGATTTCATAAAGATTGAAAAAAAAAAAGGCAATTGTGATATGCCCATTTTGCTATATAGGACTTTTTCTTGTTAGGGTTTTAAAGCATGTTAAACCCGAACCAGAAGCCTAAACAGGACAAAGCCCTAAAGAGAATTGAGAATCACACCTTATTCAAGAAAAAAATTAAGTAAATAAGAATAAAATTTCATGGGTAATTCAAATTGAGGGTTACTTGTGATGGAGAAACTTGTTAGTTGTTGGCCCAAACCTAGAAAAAGGAATATAGAATCTCTCCCGTAGATTATAATAGCCATCTCGTGACTTGCTGGAGTGAAGGAAGGTAGTCAAAGTGAACAAAAGTCGTCGGAGTGAATGGCCTCTCCTCTCTAGGTTTAACAGAGAAGTCTTATTGGCGTTGCGCCAATAATCTGAAGAGAGAAATTCTTTCGTCAGATGATAGATATATTTTTGAGAATAATTTTTTTTTTTAAGTCTTAACTGTTGTGATTTTATTTTCTGGCCACTTCACTTTTAAATAACTACAAAAAAGACCCCATGTTTAAATTTTAAAATTACAGAATGACCCTCAAATGTGTCCCTTACATGTCCATTGCGTGTCTCGTGCATGCTTGAAATTCAAAAATTAAAAAAAAAATATATATATATATATATATATTTATATCGAACACTCTAAATGGTGTGTCCAACACGTGTCCGGGACATGTCCGAGCATGTATGTGTCCCAAATGTGTTGGACACGGATACATAAGCCAAAATTGACTATCCATGCTTCATAGACATTTAGCAGATAGTCGAAGTGAACAAAAGTCATCGAAGTGAATGGCCTCTCCTCTCTTGGTTT